AAATCGGCTTCTGTTTTAGGTACATTATGAAAATATCTAACTATGCATTCTGCTAAGTTTTAGAAATACTCTTTTTAGATGTTTGAGATGTTTACATGTGTGAAAAATGCAAAGAGCAACTGCTGGCAAAATAATTAAGATGCTCTGAAACCACTGAGGGTTTTATAAATATTGAGATAATTCCTACTCCGAATGAACACCAACATAAGCCAAAGGAAGTTCTGCCATAGCAAAGATCAGGCCATTTGGTCATGTGTTAGGACCACAGCAGATTAAGGAAATTAAAAAAAAAAAATTAGGCATCCCATAATCATGAAGAAGTCCTCCCAACAGGATGGTCATTTGTTGTTTCTACAGAAGAATCAGCTAAACATAGCAGTCTCAGGCTTCTAAAGCCTGCTCTTGGTGTGATATAAAACTAACTACTTAAACAGTAAATATTCCAGATATCAAAAGGCAAAGGTGAATTTCCAAGTGATTCTAAAAAAATTCTTGTACTTATGTTTCTTACACCATTTGAAGATCCACAATTTCCTTTGGAGGAGAATAAAATGAAGTAAAAGGGCAAAAGGCTTAAGGAGGTAAGAGTAAATATAAACACAAACATAAACAACACATCTTTCCAAATAACATTTACATTGAGTGCTTAATTTTGGTATACACTCATGTAAATACAGAAGTGTATATATTTCAAGGCCATTTCCATTTCTTGCCTCCCGGGATGTGTACAGATGCATACTGCACCTAGGATTTGTGCTGTGCACCCTAACACTCGGTACTGGTATACGGGTATACGGGTTATAACCTAACAGGATGAAATATACCATAGCCAGGTGCATCCAGCTATGTGACCAGTGTAGAAAGGAGGAAAAAAACAACCAAACAAAAAGAACCCAATCCACAAACACACAAAAAACCCCAGACCACTAAATACACATGCACTCCATACATACTAAGAAATGCACAAGTGCAATTTAAATTAGGCACTACCCCAGGAAGACAGACCTTCGTGTGTACTGCAGGGCACAGTGTGTTGTTAACCCAAACTCTAATTTGTTTATACGGCCGAGGCTGGCAGCACACGCACATCTTCGAAACAGAGCAAAAATCATGGAGCCGATGCGCGTTTGTGCCGAGCACCCCCACGCACATCTGCAAGCACACGCGGGAGCACGGCCACGCTACGCCCGCGGGATAACTTCACATCCACGCAGGCCGGGCCGTCAGCAGGAGACGGCGATGGAGGAGGAGGAGGAAGCAGCCTTCGCCGCCTCTCACAGCGCCCACGGCCCGCGCCCACGGCCCGCCCCTCCCGCCCGGCATCCCCGTCGCGGGTGCCGCGGGGGCGGCCCTGCGGGGAGCGGGGGGACGGGGCAGCCGGGCGGCGCGGCCGGTCCCCCCGCAGCGGCGCTCCGTGGGGGAGCGGAGCCCCGGCTGCTGGCGCGGGGAGGTTTCCAGGCATCCTCGCTACATGCGGGGAGCAGCACGGCAGTGACAAGCGGCGGCGCAGCCTGGGGGGGGGGCTCCGCGGAGCGCAGCCCGGAGAAGGAGGAGGTGGAGGAAGGGGGGATGCCCGGAGGAGCCGGCGGGCTGGGGGAGGGAGCCGAGCCCTGCCCCCCTCTCCCCCAGGCACCGGGGCGGGGGAGGAAGCTGGGGCTCCCCCTCTCTCTCACGCCAGCCCTGTGCAGCGCCTTCAAGGCGGAGAGGGGGAGGCGGCGGGGGGGAGGAAGGGGGGGAAATGCTGCAATGTAGCGCCGGGCGGGCAGGCGAGGGAAGCCGCAAACCCTCCACTGGGGCCCGGCGCAAGCCCCCGGGCCGAGCCCACCGCTTGCTGCGGCCGCGCCGGCCGCAGCCCCGCGGTACCTGCCCGGGGCGGGAACGGCGAGCACGGACGCGACCCCAGCGGGACGACCCGGCCGAAAGGGCGGCCGGGGCGCAGCACCCACCTTTCACCACCCTGTCCGTCGTCGATAACTTGGGATCAACGGCCTTATGCTCCGACATGTCCGGCGGCCGGGGAGGCGGCGAGGCTCTCCCCCCTCGGGCAGGGCAGGCGCGGGCTGAGGCGGCGGCCGCCGCTGCGGTCACGGCTCCGGCTCCTCCGCTGCGGCCGAAGTTGCCGCGTCCCGCCGCCGCTCGCTGGCTCGGCTGGGCTCTGCCGCGCGGTGCCTTCCTCCTTCGTCTTCCTCCACCCCCGTCCTCCTCTTCCTCCTCCAGTTAATTATTGCTCGCTTTCAATCACGCCTCCGGGCTGTGTAGGACGGCTCGCTCTTCCCCCCCCCGCCAAAGACCCCGGCGACAACACCCGCGGCGGGGCGGCTGTCAGGCAGCGCCGGCAGGAAAAGCCGCGAGTGGACGCGGGCAGCAGGAACAGCCAGGTTGCACACGCAGCGGCCAGCCCTGCGCTTCCTTCCTCCGCGGCGCGCCGCTCCGGCTCCTCCTGCCGCCACCACCGCCGCCGCCGCACCGGACAGGGATGCGGACCCGTGTCTTGCCCGGCGCCCCCCGCAGGGTCTGTCCCCCGGCTCGCTCCGACACCGGCCGCGGCCCCGCGCCGCTGCCAACGCTCCGCCGCGCAGCCCCCGCGCGCCGCCCGGCCCCGCCCGCCAGGCTCCCGCTCCCGCGCGCCCCCATTGGCCGCCGCGGCGCTGTCACTCACTGTCAGCCG